AAAAGAAGATTTCGGCTGGTTTTTTGTTGCGTTTTTTTTTCTTGTAGTCGTCACCTTCCCTTCATAGTTTTGAGTGTTTTATTTTGTATTTTTTGTTTATTCCTGGAAAACATCAAGCGTGCGCCAGTTGAGTACGTATCATTTACAATTTTCGAACTGTCATCGGCCCCACCCGCCCACGGTTTGGTTTTGCATGCAGCACGCTTGCCCTCGTACTCCTCTCGCTGTAAACTGCGATTTGACCTTGGGATGTGAAAGCTGGAACTTTTTGAGCGATTTCATGGTGAACAGCACAACCCTTTGAAGATGTGTCGCAAGCCGACTGCTGAAAGAAGATCTCGTCGCCCGAGACATGCAACAACAGCACCACCCGTATGCCACCTTCACAGTACCTACGCACACAGTATTTCCAAGCCCGGTTGGGGTCACACGTTTTCCTCTGAGGTTGGCATGAAGGGCTTCGCCACAGGGGCCATTACCTCCAAGCAAAGTCTTTGCTCACTCCTCCCACGGCAGGTGGTCAGGGTTCGCAAGTCGCACTTCTCGACAGCGACATGCCTGGCCACTGCCACGACTTCCTAACACACGCGTTGCCTTGCTAGCGTATCGTCAATCCCCTCGCAATACCTGCGAAAACAAACCCCGGGACGCGAGCCACCATGTGCTCTTCTCGACCTCGCCGCTGTTCATGGGGTGACTTACTGGGGCACTCCACTGCCCCTCATCATTTGTTTTTCAGGATGGACGCGCCCATCACCAGATGTGCGTGGATCTCTTGAACTCAACAAAACTCCCATCAACTCAATCAGTAAGCGCAGCACCGGACAGCTACCAGGCATACCGAACCCCACCTCCACCGTCTCCTCCAAAATTAGGAAACGCGCCCACAGGGTTCCTTTCACGAGCAGGTTGGTGCGCTTGTTGCTGCCTCTACGTAAGTGGTACTCTGCCTGTCCCCTACACACTGTTGTTTCAACAGACTAGACAGATTCCGAGAAGATGTCCTCGAGGTCCCTCATTTCTTTGCTGTTCTCTTCCAACAAGCCGGAGCTCTCCTCCTTCTGGGCAACCTCGGCGGCAGCGGGACCACCCCTGTGCACACACCCCGATCCAACCCCGTCAACCCCGCCACCACCGACGCTGCCAACGGTAACACCCTCGCTTCCGCCGCTGCCGCTTGGGCTGCGGTACGGCTGTTCTGCTTGTCGAGGCGCTGGCGCTGGTGCTGAAACCGCCATGGGGCGCGGGGGGGCGTACGAACTGGGTTGCGGGGCCCCGAACCCAGCCCCACCTCTCCCGGGGCCGGTAGCAACCGGGCCGTAGGCGTCTCCCCATGGCTTCAGGAAAGAGAAACGAGTGGCGGGCTCCCACCACTGGAAGTGCCACCTGGAAAACGGATCGTACCGGAAACGGAACCGACGTTCGAGGCTCGGCCGATCGCAAGGGCCAAGGCCTTGACGCTGAACATGGTGTGGCGTTGGAAACTCGAGGGACTCTGTCCTAACGACGCATTGTTCGCAGCCCTGGCGCGGGTTTCGCTGAGGGGTCGGGTCGAGACCCCTCTCCCCAGGCACGGGTGGAGGTAACATAGTGCGAGGCCGGGGATACTCCGCCCCAATCTCTAGACCTACCTTCGAGAATGAACGGCTGAGGGAGGAGGACGCCGTCTACTACATAACTGTTCTGATCGACAATGGACTTTCCGAAATTCCATGCCACCACTGCATTGTTCGGCCGCCTTCTTGATTAGAAACCAAAAACACACATACAATACTTGTACACAGTAGTTCATAACGGATCTCTCACCCAACTCTGTATGCATACCAACGCCCGTGACGTGCAACTGACTCTTTCTGCGCAAAACGCATGCTGAGTCGTGCACAGCAGTGCCCGCCGTAGTAATGATGGGGCTACGCTCGCATTCTTACATGCCTCCCCGAAGACCAGCCTCTGCGCAAGCAAGGAGCAGGAGCGAAGTGAAAGCCAGCCACAGCGTGCTCCAACCGGTCCCCGATGCAGCCGCGCTGCGGAAGGTGCGAGCGATTTTGGACATGATATTCAGGAGGTACGTTGGAAACGACATGGTGGTGATCGTCCACACGGGAGAGAGGAGTCGACGCACGGTGCTTGGCTCAAGCAGGTAAAATTCGGCTTATCCGCATCACAACGCCGGTTCCTTCCACACGTTGCTCGCAGGGAGAAACACGGCAAGTAGACCAGCGAAGGCAGCGCGTAGCATGGCGCACGACCACGCATCGCCACACCAACACCGTGTCTATCCCCCACACATGTCGAACAACACCTATTCCAAGACGAATGAATCCCGCATGAGATACCACGGTGGTGCGCGCCACTACACGGCGTCAACAGACAAAAAATCGACAGTCATCGGAGTTGATTGTCTTACCATACAAACCAGATCAGTGCCATGACGGCCAACGTGCCGATGGTCAAGTGTGGCCACACCGCCAGAACGTGTCCTTGAAAGGGGACCTCCATGTCCGGAAACTGACAGGAAGGGGGCGGCGAGGGGCGAGCGGCGGGCGGCGGCGAAGGGTGGAGATGTTGTCGTTGCGGTTGTTGCCGGTGTTTCGTTTTTGCCTAGACACTGGGAACAAACAAAACTGGAGCCTGGGCTTCGTACCGTGCAGGCTTTTTAGCCGTTTTCAGGTCAAGCCGAGACTCGAAAGGTCACACCCGGCTAGATCCTCCGGCGCACACAAGGCATCCCGCGAGTAATGTAGCCTGGCGTCGTGCCCATCGACCCACAGCAGGCGAACCGATGTATTGCCAAACACGTCGACTGCGTTGCATAAGCTTGGTGTGCGTGCGGCTCGACCATGTCTTGTGCGAGACGAGGCGGGAAATTCAAACAAGTTGTGTGTTATATTACCTCGGTGGAAAGAAACAACCATAAACCTTTTCCTCAGGCCCGGTTCTCAATCACACAGCGTAGAACGACGAGGCGAACGACCGAGAAGCAAACCAGCTCCCTGACCGCAATGCTTGCGCAACTCCCAGCCAGCTGGCAAGAAAACACCCAACTGGTCGTCACTCCGCTGTTCTCACCGTGGCCAGAGCGAAGCTTAGCGCCAGCCTGGCGCCCACGGTTGCCACCGCGATCACGCTTGCTTTCCACAGCCAAGACCCTGGAAAGAGAGGACGAGGGCGGGCGAAGGGGAAGGGAGAAAAAAAAAGTCGGAGGTTCCTGGGACGCATGAGGGACGCGGCCACAGGCAGGGCAACACCCATTGCACGGACGAAGCAAACAGAAGTCGAGGGGGGCGAAACATGTCCGACATACAAAAGTACGCTGCCACGGTACAAGACTATAAAAACGTGCCATGCGCACGAAAGTACCGCATGCTATTCGATTGAATGGAAACCTCCTGCCGATGGACGCGACAACGCCGTCGGTGAAACGGTTCATACGGTATCTGCTTCAACAACCCAACAATGACGCCGCTTTGACTCCGTCACATCAACGCCGTCCAAAGCAGCACCTGGGAGCTTGGCGGACGCTGGCAGAGGCACCAGCACCCAAACCAAGCGGGGTAAACAAACGAGCGAGGGAGACGACACCCGCGACAAAAACACGACGGCATTCACCTCCCGGAGAGGGCCGGACGAAGGGGACTTCGACGACGAGAACACGCGCCATCGCTTGAAAAACTACAAGCACGTACACATCTTATCATGCATCACCCGACCACCGCTGAGAGGCGAACTTGAGTTACAGAAGCCACCACGAAAAGACTTGCCAGTGAGGAAGACGGCCAGCAGGAGCGGGACCACTACAGTCGCGCCCACGAGGGTCGCGCGATGGTGCTGCGGAAAGCCCCAGTGTCGCTCTGCGTCGGCTGCGTACCGAGAGAGATCGACGGCCGGGAAACAGTAGCAGCGGAGCGGGGGCAGGTGGGAGGGGAGAGCACAAGCAGACCACGTAGGCGATGATGATCGTGGTGTCTTAAGTCTGGTGCGAGAGGTGGGACTAACCAACATACTTTCTGAGCGGGTCATATATACAACAGCGAAGAAGACTATTTAGTATGTGTCACGCCGAGCACGACCGGCAGAAAAAACTACGTCTCCTTCGCCCGTACCACGGACGTCCTGCCTGGAATGGTGACCCTCATATCGACGACCACAGCAGTATGTCACGACATTTTCATGTACCCCAAAAAGAGCTGTTCACGTTAGCTTTGCGGAAACCCCATAGCAGTTGCCTCCGTGTGGGAGCTGCAACCAGCAAAAATCTTCGTGAATGCCAGTCTCTCGGGTGTGCTTTCGACGTGCAGTCTTCACAAGCTCCATGCACAGCGGTAGCTGCAGAGGATACTACTGTACATACCAGTCGTGTTTTAGTCTAATACTACGTAGCCGTGCCAACGTTTGGTTGACATCGACACTTGCGGACAGTTTTTGTCCTCGCAGATATTTCCAGAGTCACCTTCATCTCCCGGATTGAGAGACAGATACAACCCGAGTAGCGAGTGCTGCCGCACCAGGTAGTCGGGTAGGTCAGGCAAGCCTCCCCTTCCGCCAACATTGCCCCCCCCGACGCCTCCGTCGCCGGCGCCCCAAGAGGACGGGGCAGAGTGAGCACCTCCTGCTCCTGTTGCTGCTGCCCTTCTCGACTGATCGTCACGGGCGTCCGTCTCGAGCAGCCTTCTATTGTAGTAATCCGGATCGACCTTCATGGCAGCGTCCGACATGTCTTGGACAAGGATCGAATGTGCGTCTTGCCCTGTAGAAGGTCGATGCTGTACAAGATGGAGGTGTGCTGTGCGGTACTATGGTATGTGACTATAACAATCAACCATTGACTGTTGTTGTTGATTGTTATCAGTCATATACCTAGAGAGCTGTACCTAGAGGTGCGGTGAGCAAGAATGTTCGGGGGGCGACGCGAAAACTACGCTACCCCCCCGCAAAATGCGGCGAGATGATGTAAGAGAACCTTCTCCCCGCACGACTTGCTTGTGTTGCTACCGCTGTGCCGGCGGCGGTCAAACACACCACCACTCACGGCGGGCAGTGTGCCTTGGTACGGTGGCTACCCCGTCGTGGATTTGGAGCCCAAGAGCTGATATGCGGGGTTCTATCATGTGGCGCCCGTGGCGAAGACATCCAACCGCAGCACCCGCCGAAGACGTCGAGCTGCAGCTCCGGCAAGGGACGCGGCAACCCCACTGTGCGGCGGCAGGGGCAGTAGAAGGAGGAGGAGCACGAGATGCTGGCAGTACCGGCAACAGCAAGAACGTTCGCCGTCACATCCACCAGCGCCGAGGAAATGCTTTACGAAGGACGCCGAGGTTCTTCGGTACGAGGGATCAAGATACGGTAAGATGATCAGTGAGCGGGATCACAACTACATATCTGCCTGTTCTCTTCACCTTCCAACAGGGAGAAGTCTATAATACTGCTGTAAGCCCCTGTGAGAGCGAAGCAACGGATGGCCATACGAGATCCTGCGGAATGATTATTGTATGAGGCCGCCGATCTGTCCCAATAAATCCACCAGGCGACATTCCGCGCGCTACTCGCTGGCACTTAATCGCCGCCAAGGCCAACTCGGGAGGGTACGTAAACCTGATAAGGTGGTGTTCCGGCCAACAGCCCGCACGAAAGATCCGCCGCCGCGCCTCAGCCAACACGCAGCACACATCAGACGGCAGTAAGCGGGCCTGTTACTACAGAGCCGAAATAGAGCCACTCTCGTAGTGGTGTGGCAACACTTCGCGAACAACTCCACTCGTTGACTGCCCGTTCACAGCATGTCGGGGCATAATGCCGTCAAATGACAAAATAGATTCACGTGTCTATTGGTCTTGCACTCGAATCAACCAAGAACACGGCGCCAGCGTTATATCCCTGCGTCTTGATTGCTTTTGACGGCGTCGGCATAGTTCTTCATGATCATGATGTTGTTCTCACCAACTGATGCCTTTGGCAAACTACGTGTAAAACCCCTCTCCCTGCATGCAGTCTGTTGCAATGTCCATTCCTGTGGGCTATTCGCGGGTTTGTAAACGCCAACTGCGCGCTGCATGACAGCTCACCCCGGCGGTGCGCACTGCATATCTAGTGGGTGCCCTGTTTGATGCTTCGGTACCCTCTGAGCTCGATTCATGAATGAACTGAATCGCAAAGACGGCGCTCTCGCCTCTTATCGTCAGCCTTCTTGCTTGTTATACTCGATCGTTCTAGCGGGCAAAGCTTGTGTTGGAACCTCCCCAGCCGCCCTTGACCAACACGTGCAGTTTGGATACTGATCTGGCAGGTTTGGATCGGGTTGGCAGTTGTGCTTTTCTTTCCGGTGCTGCTCGTGTTGGTGAACGTGATGAAGAACAGGCGCATCAGCGGCGAGGTGAGTGTGGCAGGTTGGTCTTCGAAGCACTCTTTTCTTCGGGTTGCTTATTTGCAGAACCGTCCTAGACTCCACCTGGTTGCCGGCGGTGTGTCTTGCCCTTCGCACCTCCTTGTCCGTGTCCATTTTCCTCGCTGCGGGAAACCTCCTCATCTCTCTCCCTCTATCTCTCCGCCTCGTATGGTCTAAGATAGCTGCAGGTTTCACACTAAGCCCCCCTTTCTTTTCGCGGAGATTCACGACGCGGGAAGCTCAAACCATTTTAAGCTCCGGTTGCGAATACCTATCTGCTTTCTGTGATAAGAATACCCTTCCATTCTGCATGCGACATTCCCTGTGTGCGTGTGCACGTGTGCGTATGCGCGTGTGCGTGCTTCCCGTGTTCCTGAGTGTGTACAAGTACATGCTTGGGTTATCGTTTAACCTTGAGTACCCCCTCTCTCCTCCCATTGCTCTCCTCTCTCTCTCTCTCTCTCTCTCTCTCTCTCTCTCTCTCGCTCTCTCTCTCTCTCTCCTTCTCTCCCTCTTGTCCGAAAACAAACCGCGCAGCTTCGGTGGGACAAGCTCTACATGCACGCCGTCGTAGACGACGAGGAGCATTGGAACCTCGGATGGCGCTTGGAGGACCTCGCCAAACAGACCCTCAACCAGCGGGCCAGGATGGCCGTCCTCCTAGAAACCCTGAAAAGCACCCCTGTACCAGACGTCAAACACAGCAGCGTTTTCTCTATCCCGAAAGCTGCCAAGGCTGCGGCGGCATGGGTTAGAGGGGGGGGAGGTGGGACTGCGGAGGGTGCGCCAGGGGAAGCCGAGGGGGAAGATGAGGGAGGGGGGGTGTCCAGGGCGGTTTCGTTCTCCAAGGTCTTTTCGGAGGAGGAGGACTTGAATCGCGTGGTTGCCATCTCCTGCGCCACGAGACCGAACGTGTATGTGCAGGTGGGTGCTCAGGCCATGAAGCTCAATCATGTGCAGTTTTGGCACAACAAGTTTTTTTTATGTTTTTGCTCCTCGTCCAATGTAGTACGGTCGGTTCGGCCCTGCCTACCTTGCGGCCTTGCCCCTCTTCCTTCATTGACTCAGATTTCGACAAGATATAGCGTTTGCTCATTTATCAACTCGCTCGCAGGTTCATCTATTTATGGGCAGAGCGTTCATGTACTTGTCCAGCTGGGTCATTAGCGACACTGACTCTTGTCTTTGTCGATGCTTCGCTCCCACTCGAGGCTTTGCCTGAACCTGCGTCGACCTGTAGTGGAGGGGCTGACCGTTCGCACAGGGAAACACGAGCAATACGGGACACCAACCGTTTTGTACCGACGACGTTGGTGGCACACGCGGTCACGGTTTCGGCGTGGAGCCCTGCACGTGCTTCACAAATACCGCCCGCACATGACCGTTTGGCAATAATGGATGCTCAACATGACATCAAAGGCATCAAAACATGAGAAGTTGGAGCGCCATTTGTGAGCCCGGTTTTAGAACCCCTACCCTGGAACTTTTTGTAGCGGCCATTTTGTGTAGCCAACACGAGGAAGTAAGACCCCCACCTCGGCCTAAACTAGAGGTTCTTGAGTACGGGTGCTAGCTGTACTTTGTTGCCCGAATGAATGGCCTTAGTTGTGGTTTCACCCACAGCCATCTCGTCGGGACTATTCTGGGCGTGTGGGGAACCATGCACCGGTGCCGTCCACTTGGCCGAGGGGCTGATCAAAATGACGGCACCATCGTGTACGGTCGTCCCCACAACCGCAGACGCACATTTTTTTTCGAAGCGTCTTTCACTCTGGGAATCGTCTTTAAGTAACGGTACCCCCTTGTGTGTTGTTTATCTGCGGGGCAACCTGCTTCTCAGAGTTTTTGGGTTCTCAAAGCGGGGAGATGAATTAAGATGCGCGTCTTTGAAGCGGGGACGATTGTACCAAAGAGCGAAGCATAAAACTGCGCTGACTGATACGCCAGGTGGGCATGCACCCGATGGTGGCTTCAGCGGAAGCTGGCTGCAAGGTCTACTCCGCGGCGACTTCGCTCGACCCCCACGCGCTCTTCGAGAAGGTGTGTTGTATTATATTGGTGTTGGTGCTGGCGATTCTCTTGTGGATATGTCTTTCATTCCACGACTGTGCAGTACTACCAAGGTAGCTGCTGCTCGCTTCATGCGTTCGAGACTAGTGTGGTAGAGGTGTCGTTGCTGGCGATCCTGTTGCGTGTGTGTGATTCACTCCATACCTCATCTTGCAAAGTAGGTGCTGCTCGCTTCATTCGCTTTTCGCTTCTGGCGAGTAGTGTGGTAGAGGTGTCGATTCTCTTGGGTGCTGTGGTTTTGACTCAACACCTGTACTATCAAGGTAGGTGCTGCTCGCTTCATACGTTTTTCGCTCCTGGCCCGTTTAGTGTGGTAGTTCCTGGCGAACCAACCTCTTGTGAGTGTGCCTTTCACTCCTCACCCCAACGAGCAAGCGTTGCGTTTTTCATCCTGTCCGCCCTCTTCCCAACCCCGACGTTCAACCCAGACTTTGCTAGGCATCCGCTCTCCGCTTCAACAACCCTACCATTCCTCTCCGCGTTAAACATCCATTCTGTTGCGGGACACCTCACCAGGAACGGTCAATGCTTGCCTGCCCCACCCACACTATGTCGGTCAGTCGCAGTTCACCTCACACGCTCCACATAAAATGGCCACTTCGTGGATATCCTTCTTTTACTCCGCTTGGCACGTTCGTCTCGTATCGGAAAAGCAGAGAAAACAAGAGGCAGGAAGGTCTCGCGTTGCGTAGCATATGCCGTTGCCTCGACTACCACACTCGAGATGCCAACAAATCCGAACCCCAAAACGTTGTTTCACCCCAGTTTTCCGCTTATCTGTGTGTGGCTCCTTTCAGGCCCGTATCATTCACGACCTCGTTGTCTTGTCGGGGAACACTTGAGCCAGGGTGCGCCAAGCACATTCGGGGCTTCCTAGGTTCGCTCTCGGTCTGCACTGAGTTTTTTTGTACTGCTTTCGTGTGCCTCGCCTGGCGCTTAATTTTTTTACTCTGATTCACTCTCGATTCAGCTACGCCACGTTTTCGTTTCCCCTCACAAGGCTTTTGGAGCAGGTCGACCAAGGTTTGGCTTCGTTGCCTTGGTTTTGCAGGCGTTGCTCGCCTAACTCCTGTCAAGCTCACTCTGTATGTACGTCGCGGCGATGTTTCTGTATTGTAGACGGAACAAAGAAACATCTGGTCTCCGGTGGAAATACGCTTGAGGCCAGCACAGTCGGTTGAGCAAGGGTCTCGGCTGTTTTCACGTCCTCCACTTTCGTCACTCTTGGTGACGTCACTCCACCGTGGTTCGACGCGCCTCATGTACACCCTTCTTCCCTCTCGACGACCTCTCGACGATAAAAATCAACTACCAATACCCGTCGTGAAAGGGTTGGAATTTTTCACTCAGCGAAGCAGGAAGCTGTGCTGTGCACACGTCAGCAGCAGCTAAACACAATGTCAGTCCAACACCGGGTTCACTTGGTCAAACAACGAGCAGCCTTGGTCCTGATTGCACAATCGCTGCTGTGCACATGATAGATCGGGCTCGGCGAGGGTCGATTTGCGCTGCGGGCCTTTTCCAACCGGAGGTTCCTGCGGGTGATACCCCCGCCTCCTTCCGCCGGGTGGAGCGACTGGACTGTCTGGGCACTCGAGGTCTGTTGGGTTGCTGCTGTTGTTGTTGTTGTTGTTGTTGGTGGTGGTGGTGGTGTTGTTGTTTTTGGCGGTGGTGGCGGTGCTGGTGCTGCTGCTGTTGTTGTTGGTTGTTGATTATTTCTTCTGGCCGGGCTGATACTACAGATGTGTGGTTTGTTGTTGTCATTGTTGTTTCCTCTGGCCGGGCCGATGTTATTGGTGTGTTCCGTTGCCGTGATGATTTATTGTCGTTGCCGCTATCATTGCTTCACGTCCGTTACAGGTTGCTAGACATCGGGGCGAGTCGTTCCTATGAAAGCGCTGATTGAGCTTTGTCTTTGTCATCGCTGTCGCCGCAGCCTGTAGCACGTCGAGAGCTAGCACAGGGGGTGACGACATTTTCTTCGCGTGTCTGTGTTGCGGGCGTCGTCGCCTGTAGCAGCTCTCAAACTTTTTGTCGCAACATCACGCATATGGGATTACAACGAGATGCCGTCCTCGCCATTGTTGCGTGCGCACAAGGGGTGCCATGAAGCATCCTCCCCTTGGTACCCATTGGGGAGCTCGGCGAGATCTCCGATTTTTGTTCCCTGTTTCGCAGGTCGGAGCGCCAGAGATTGGCCTGCCGGAGGTGTTCCAGATGCGCGACGGTATGGTGTACAGCGAGGTCATGCATGGCTACCTCTCGTGCTCTGGGGCTGGGGCAGAAGTAAGCAAGGCTTGATATTGTTGTCGTTGTTGTAGCTGTTGCTGTTTGTGTATGGTCATGGCTGCGACTGCTACTGCTGCTGCTGTTGTTGTTGTTGTTGTTGTTGTTCTTGTGCGCGCGTATGAAGAGCCGGTGATGGACCGATTTCACGGGCTAGCCCGAAAAGAGCCCAACGTATTTTTTTGCTAAGTAGCAGTAGAAATTAGCATGCAGCTATCTCGTCGTTCGGGGTTTCTCTACTTCATCGACAAGTATGTTTTGTGTTGTGTTCGTGTCTTGTCTTGTGGTATGCGGCATTCCTCCGCTGTCTTACCCTTCATATGCTTCGGTGTGTCGCTCTGTCATTTTTTCACTCCCACTTTCCCGATTCTCTTTTAACCCTTCCCTCCTCTTCGCCCTCATCATCCCCTCCCCCTTGGCTGTCGAAGTCGGAGGTGAAGGGCTTCGTGGGAGAGTACTTGTGGCAGAACGAGGAGTCGTATCAACTCATCTTCGACCAGGCAAGACACCGGTCGATGTGAACGGACACGTTGTGCCTGCAGTGGTTTTCATCTCTTGGACCACCCTCCGCTCTCTCACTCTTTTCATGAAGCTCGAGCCTTAAAGTTCCGTGTGGTGGATGTCGGCCGGCAACCGCTGGCCGCTTGTTTTCTTTGCCGCCGACTCCGGGGTCAGCTGTCTGCCTCCTCTCTTCTCTCTCTCTCTCGCGTTGCGTCTCAAGCTGACATCGTTGGAGCGGTGGTCAACTCGCCTTAAGCAGAGTCTGGCATGGATCAAAGTGTGGCATGACGCGCCCTCACTGCTGCTTGCCCTTCGTGCGTCCACCAGGCAGCGTGAACGTGTATACGTCCTTTGTCATTAAGGTTTTTTCTTGATTTCGCTCTCTTGGCTGGCCACTGCGACGCCAACGTCTCTATGTGCTGCAGGTGTCTCACAAGGCCGTCGAGCGGGCGAGGCTTCTGAGAGACGTGTCGAGAGCAGTGAACGACAGGCAGCAGCGAGAGGCCGACGAGTACATCAAGGCCCGTGTAATACCCTCTGCGACTGCATCGCAGCCCATGCGTTAACAGTATCCTCCACCGAAGTTGACACCAAGGGAAATCCGGACAAGCGTGATTTTTGTCCCCGTTTCTTACGCCAGCCTCAAGCGCTGACTGACTCAGACTTCCTCGAAACCCGTTTGGTGTCGGCGTTTGGTCATTGTCACTCCCCCATGATGTCACCTTCCTGTCATGCGACCAAGACACGCACTCTGTTTGTTGCGCACCGTCGTCCGCTGGCTTTTGTTGCCGGATGAAATTTGCCGTCTTGTGGGCCCCTTACTTCCTTCCCCCATATCTCTAGTGCCCCCAAGGAACGATAGGCCATCGTTAGTCGGTCCTGTGGAAACATACTCCGACCTCTAGCCATCGTTAATCGGTCCTGTGGGAACAATGCTCCGTCCCCTCGAGAACACGTCTACAATGGTTTACCAACGAGGACATGCGACACATGAGTAGCTTACCCCCTGCCGATCCGACATGTGCCGTCGGTGCGTCCTATGACCGAACGTGTTACTCATACATGTTCATATATCACGCCCTCCGCCGCGTTTGTCATCGCCGATCTTTCGGTAGGCGGCGGAGCGCGAAGTGGAGAGGAGAAACAACAGGAAGAGAATAACCATCGCCGTGTGCATCCCGATGACCAGCCGGGGCACCTTGATGACCTCCCCCTACGACAGTCCCGTGTGGACGCACGCCTTCAGCACGTTTCTGTCTAGCACGGACTTTAGGGATCCCACGTTCCGGTTCCATTGGTGAGACGACGAATTTTCAGCGCGAATGTCGTGGTTGTGGTTGATAGTGCTTTGCCCTTGCTTCTCTCGTGCAGTTTGGTTCGTTTTTCTTGCTGGAGTGTCAGAACCCCCCCGTTGTCCAATCGGATTCTCCGGCATTCACGCCGGGCAACCATCACTCCGGCCAGCACCATTTTCTCTGCCCTACGTTTGCGTACTTACCGTAAAGATTTTCGATGTGAAGCGTTTTATGTTTTTTTCTTGTGCAGGTACTTCGGGTTTGATGCCGGGGACCCAATCTACGATGCCGCTGGCGCTGCTGCGCACCTCCACAAGCAATTTGGCAAGCTTGCAATAGAGGTAAGGGAGGAGGCACGCCTGGTGTATCGACGGGGGAAAGAGAAATAATGTCGTTCTCCAGGGACATCTAACGTGAAGCGGTTTCTGTTTGAGGAGGCCGTCCGACCCACAAGCGGCGTGTTCGAATATTTGACCCCTCTGACTGGTATAATGTCTCCCTCTGGAGTATTCAAAACATGATGAACCCTTAACAGGGTTGTCGGTGCCAATCTATTCTGCGGGCTTCGCCATAATAACTTCTGCTAGTATGTGGTGTGTTTTGATTCCGCTGAAGCGCTCAAATCCCAAACTTACTCCAGAAAAGTTGATGTTATGTATTTCTCTCGCGTGCTTTTACGGGCGTTACGACCTCCGCGTCTTGTTGTCTTACCTCTTGTTTTTTGCTTCTGTTGGCGTTGTCGATGACGTGTCGACGTCCACTTAGTCGCTTTGGTCTGGAGTGGTATCCAACATGTGCATTGTCTGTCGGTCGGTCTGTCTGTCTGTCGTTCTGTCTTGTCTGTGTCTCCATCCCTCTCTTATGTTTTTTTCTGATCAGGAGTTCAGAAGGCAAGGTTTGACTGCTAACGACGTTGAGCACCGCTGGCGTGACGGCAGCTTGAGGCTCAAGACTAAGTACTACCTGGGAATGGAGGTATCTATGCCGTTTTTTCAGGGATATGGTGTAACCACTGGGTGTGGACGAGAGGACGGAGGGCATCCTCAACGCCCTCCCACAGGCACTCATGATGGCATCGCCCTCTCAGCCACGTTTTTGAAGGACCGCCTGTTTTATGCCACTCTGCTAGTCGGGCGATTATCCTTGAGCTTTCCCGTGTTCCTCTCCCGTCCTGCCCGCCTATTAGGCGAGAATCCGATGTGCTACTTCCTACATATTTCTTGTTGGTCTGTCTTTGTATGTTTGTGTGTTCTCTCTCTCTGCCTCTCTCTCTCTCTCTCTCTCTCTCTCTCTCTCTCT